AGACAACAATGTTGATCAGAGTATCTTCATTTCAAATTTCATTAACAAGTTTTAATTATCAAGTAGAAATAGAAGAGAGATTTTACAATAGAACAATTACAAAATAGAAGATATTATTAGAGTAGTGAAAGTATGAAGTTGAGATAACAATGTTGATCAGACAGTAGTCTTAGTATCTTCATAGCAAACTTCATTAGCTGGTCAATGGCCCCCAGGGCGATCACCGATGTCGAGTGAACCAAGCACGCGTTCTCTTCTCTCTTTTCTCTCTTTCTCTCTTTCTTTATACATTGCTCGTAAAAAGTAGGCCAATAAGTAAGCGAACCAGTTTCTTCGACCGTTCGAATGATATATGCCTCTTCTGCGACAGCCAGGACAGTCCAAGCGAATACCCTGGGTCGTTTCTGAACTACTAACGCTTAAAACGTTCCAGGATTTCCTTCATTGAACCTTTATCTAGATAAAGGAAAAGATAAAAGAAGAGAAATGGATAAAATAAGTGGTGCTAGTTGTGATGGTGGTATTGGGTGGGTGGTAAAAAGGGGGGAATTCGTAAAACGATATATTTCTTTCTTTTTTGTCCTTTTTTTTTTTCCTTTCTTTCCTTCCCTTTTTATTTTATTCATTCTTTCTTTTTCTTATTTCTTTTGGAAAAGTCTTTAACACATATAAATCTTTTCCCATGTTGAACATTGAATCGTTCCGAGTCATTGATCGTAAACGAGAACAAACCTTTGTTTCTTTTTTTCTTTTTTTTTCGGATACTTTCGACTAAATATATTTACTTGCATCCATTAACAAACGAATAAAAGTTACATTTGTTTTTATTCCCTTTTCCTTTTTTTTTTTTCTTTTGGAATTATATTTTAATACACACATACACATACACATCTTGTGTCTTCTTATCTTCCTGTGTTCGAGAACAAATTTGAATATTAGATAATAAAAAAGAAATGCTTGATTTTGTATTATGATACGAAAGTTCTTTCTTTTTTTTTCTGTTATTAAATAAATGAATCTAATAAAGCTTCTACTACTGCTACTGCTGTGTGTGTGTGTGTTATTTAAAAAAATATAATATATGAACGCGGACAAAGAGTCGAAGATTAATTTTATTCTTTTCATTTCTTTTTTTTTTTTTTGTTCTTTTAATAATATTATATACCCCTTTGAAGTCAAATTAATAAGGAGACATACCGTATTTTTAATTAAATCCCAAATCAAAATTATAAACCTACACGAAGCAGATGATGATTGGACACGCGAATAGGTATGAATATTTTTTTTCCTGCGTTTCTCCCTTTTCAGCGCATACATTTTTTTTTTTCTTTTTTTAAAACTCTTGATTTCGGACAGTAAAGTATCTTTATATTAAGATAAGGGAAAAAATATATCTGTTTTTTTTTTTTTTAATTTTTTTTCTTTTTCTTCTCAACTGTATCGCATTACAAACTAACTCGTAAGATAATAATCTTCGTTTTGAAAACGATCGTTGCGGTGAGTTCTCGTTTTAGTTGGCCATTTCGGAACATCGAAATCGGTTTCACGCGGGGATAAGGAACGATCAAAAAAGTGGAAGGACGAACGATAACCTACAAAATGATCTTCCGGAATATGTTAACTTTGTCGAATTATTTTCATTTTTATTTTTACATTCTTATTTCGAGAAAACGTTCAACGTTGCCATCGTATAATGTTCACTTTTATCTCTCACGGGTTTCAACTTGATCTTTTGGGAATTGTATTTGAAAAAAAACAAATTAGATAATTTAAAAAAAAAATGTAACTATATATATATAGTTATATATACTATAATATTATATTATAAATTATATTATATTATTGCATATAATCGAGATGTTTATTTTGAAAGTGACATAAGTCACTTTTTCAGAAAAAATTGAGTTAATGGCAACACTAATTACAATTGAACGGTATCTTTTTATTTTCAATAAAAAAAAAACATATTTGTATTCAGAAGAAAATATTGTTATATCATATTTTTGTTTTCAGTGTATGGAAAATTGTTTGGCATCGAATTACACGAAACCTGGTTATTGTCCTGAAAGTGCTTTTATGTCACCCTTCGAAGCTGTTTGTTTGATTGCTTGTGACAGCGATTCACGTTGTCCAGATTTGACCAAATGTTGTTCACACGATTGTGGTGTCACGTGTATGCATCCTGTCGGTTTGGATAATATAACTGGTAAATTAATATAATCCCAATGATATTTTTTTTTGAAGTATTATTATATGTGACATCTAATTATATTTAAAAGATTGTGAAATTATTTTGCACAAATATATTCATTAAATAGTATTGTACAAATAAAATTAATTAAATATCTTTATAATTGGAATATTATCATATTAATTATTATTATTAAACCGAAAAATATAACTTCACAAAGTGTGCAATAAATTAAATATTAGTTTTATATATATATTTTTG